GAACGCTTTTAAGAGATTTTCGTAACCATTTCTTAAACCTCAAATATGCAACTGGGTTTGTTTCACTCAGATTGCCCATACCCATAAAACATGCATTATTTGTTCATGTTTACCTCGACCAGCAGATCCACCACGTCTCCGGGCATCTTCTCGATCAGGATCTCGATGACTCGCAGTATCTCAGTCTTGGCTCGGGCCAGAGTGGTGGTGTGAACGTTCTGCTGCGACTGAGAGTTGGCCTGAGCTGCGTTGAAGCGATGAACCTGGAAAACAGAAACATTTGGAAGAGTTTATGAGAGACATGACTCAAAGAGAAACACACTTAGCATTTGAGAACAATACGGGATTCTGTTTCTCAGTTGGCTGTGCATGGTTTCAGAGTGTGTGTCTTGTGTTAGTTTTTTTTTTTAAACAACCACCAATATGATACCTGCATTTTAATACCCACACCAAAACAATAACTGATTAATACCTATAAAGCTTTTTGGTTAAAATAAATGTCTGTTTTGTCACTATCTATTGCAGATGGAGAGTAATCACAGAAAGTGAAAGCGAGTCAACATGGAAACAGTGGGAACACCAAAAGAGGAAACTCTACTAAAACTCAGGCAATACGTGTGTAATAAATAATAATAATAATACATTTGATTTATAAAGGCGCCTTTCAAAGCTTTCAAGGTCGCACAAGGTACACAAAACAAAATAGCACTAAAACAACACAATGTAATCAATAAAACCAGAGGACGTGTGATGTGATCATATGTGGATATGCCACTGTGAAGAGGTGTGTTTTGAGACGTGCTTGCCGATGACATTTTGAAGCTGCTGTATGGGATGATTGTGAATTAGTTTGAGCATTTCAGCCTCACCTCTCTGGCGATGGTGGTGATGAAGGCCGGTGGGCGGGCAGTGGCGATGAGAGAGAGGGCGTGGCGGGACGAGCGAGCCGAATCTGCTGGAGGGTTGAGAGGCAACCCCATGGTGACACTGTGGAGAGAGAGTTCAATATAATGTGTTAAAGGTCCCCTATCATACTGTTTTTCATCAATATATTCCAGGTCTCAGATATATACAGAACATGTCTCTGTTTGGCTCCAAACACCAAACAGATCATTGCAGCATCCCATAATCCCCTCTGTTTCAGCCCTGTTTCCAAAGTCTGTTACTTTAGATGAAAATAAGGAGCCCCTCCCCACGCCCCTCTGAGAGACATTTGGTTAAAAAGAACACAATGGTTCTCTAGGAGGAGAGTCAGGTGATAAGGTGGGGGGGGGGGGGTTACCTTGGTTGCTGAATGGCTAATGGTTACACAAGCCAGAACATCGTTATGACATCATAAAGTGGCCAAAATCTGATCAGCTCATTTTCAGACAGGTTTTTATAGAAATGGATCAGGACAAAAAGAGAGAGAATCTTTGTTCCTGAAACTTTCAGAATCTCTTTACACAGAGGGGACACATGTTGATGTAGAAGAGACATGAAGAAGAGGGGACACATGGTGATGTAGAAGAGACATGAAGAAGAGGGGACACATGTTGATGTAGAAGAGACATGAAGAAGAGGGGACACATGTGATGTAGAAGAGACATGAAGAAGAGGGGACACATGTTGATGTAGAAGAGACATGAAGAAGAGGGTACACATGTTGATGTAGAAGAGACATGAAGAAGAGGGGACACATGTTGATGTAGAAGAGACATGAAGAAGAGGGGACACATGGTGATGTAGAAGAGACATGAAAAAGAGGGGACACATGTTGATGTAGGAGAGACATGAAGAAGAGGGGACACATGTTGATGTAGAAGAGACATGAAGAAGAGGGGACACATGTTGATGTAGAAGAGACATGAAGAAGAGGGGACACATGTTGATGTAGAAGAGACATGAAGAAGAGGGGACACATGTTGATGTAGAAGAGACATGAAGAAGAGGGGACACATGGTGATGTAGAAGAGACATGAAGAAGAGGGGACACATGTTGATGTAGAAGAGACATGAAGAGAGGGGACACATGTTGATGTAGAAGAGACATGAAGAAGTGCATTTGCATAATAGGTGACCTTTAATGTACAGGTGTTCCTTAGTACGTGTAATTTCTGCACATTTTCATTCTCAATCAGTTTCATTCCACAGGCCATAAGACTGTTAAACACCTGAACTTTTTAAAGAACATCCTTAAACATTCATCTGTTAGAATCTTGCAAATTATTTATCTAATATATCATATTCCATTTACTTGTATATAGACTTCTTTGCACTATTACTATTGAATTTGTATTTACTTGCACATCTCAAAACATTCTCTTGCACTATTTTATCAGTTTTATTTGTTCTATGTCCTATATACAGTATATTCACGTTGCACTGTTGGAGGAGCCTGTGACTTCATTGCCATATCTACACTGTAGCTAATGTGCACATGACAATAAAGCCTTGAATCCTGACATTTGCCTGGGAAAGGACATCAAGACATTGCAACTCAAATGGCTAAAGTCCTAGTGAAGTCACAAATTACTGGTGTTGAAGTAAAAAAAGGCATTTGTGATTTTGTGTGGCGATTTCAGGCTAGGTTTATGTAGGACTTAGTCAAAATAAACAAGTGTGTGTGTTCATGGTAATAAAGGAACATGTCACCCTGTGCAACTGAGTCTTACTGATGTGTTTTTAATGGTTTTTGGACAACAATGGAGCTGTATGGCACAGAAAAACAATAAATCGGGCTATTATGTTAGTAGATACATTCATTGTTGATTTGAGTTTTGTTTACAACTAGAAACATACAAATATCATGAGTCTCATCCTTTAAAAGGAACGTGCTGTAATGATCTAAAGAAGAAAAGCCTTTTTATAGACATGGGGAGAAAGAGAGATGACACGGAGAGGCGGCAGAGAGATGGAGCTTCACTAATATATGGAGTGAAGAGATTAGCGGGCAGCTTATAATGTCAAGGCCCATTCAATGGGAGCCATTCACCGGACGACGGCATAATGGACTCCCACAATGCAACAGGAATTAGACACTAACCCTAACAGCTGGCCACAAGCTCCTCTGAGTGTGTGAGAGAGATAGAGAGAGGGGGGGGGGCGAGCAAGGCAGCTTGTTAAGGAACGACTCAGGGAGAGAGAGAGAGTGTGTGATGGGCGGCCGAGCTGCACAATTCATCTCCTGTGATCACAGCCTCAGCACCTGTAATTAATACTGGTAATATATTGGCAATATATCAGCAATATTGAAATGTTTAATTTCATTTAGAGAGGTGGCTGTAATTGGAAACAGTCACAGTGTTGATATAGGGCAGCAGGAGAGCAGGGAGCTAATTGTACTGAGAAGCACCGAGGTTAATAACCAACATTAAGAACGTGTAATGAAATCATCTGGATTAGTATTACATTTGTAGGAGACGGACACACATGCACAGACACACACATGCACGCACACTAAGACTATAAAGAGAGGTGTTTTTAAACACACATTTAGACATATACTCCATGTATAGTATAGATTAATAGCTAGGCTATAATTGTGCCTTAAAGAAGACACATATACAAACATGTAAACTAAATAAAATAAAACTATAAAATTAGGAGTTTCCCAGTCAAGAAACAATGAACTGGATTATAAAATAAAAAAAACAACTACTGAATTGTGTAGTTGACAAGAAACACTCATGCACACACTTACAAAATCAGAAGCACACACACACACACACACACACACACATGCACACACACACACACACACACACCACACGCACACACAACACATGCATACAACACACAGGCACATTGTGTGAGAACCTGGCAACATGAACTGCATTCACAGCCAGTATCACGCTGACATTATCCAGTCAATACTGAGTCACACACATACACACAGTGGAGATTGGATGTATTGATTTTTCTTATGCGAGGGAGGAGGACTAACCTCGATCACATGACGAGAGTCACTGCTGCAAGAAACCCAGACAGTGTGTGACTGACTGACTGTTTTACGCAACCAGTTACAGGGTTACTGGATGGTTCAGACCGTAAAACCTCTCTGTGCATGGGTGCTTACAAGCTAAGATATAAGTTAATTTAGGTGTTTAGACACAAAGCCTTCATTGTATAGAGGGTAGAGTGACACTGCATGGATCTTTGCAAAATGGTGTTGTTTTTGTACAGTGTTTGCTGTTGTTGTGACATAATGCTCCTGTTTGGTTGATATTAGTATTTAGTGTCTCTACTGTGACATGTCTCCATGCTTTAATGTTCAAAAAGCTCTTTATTTTTCTCATACTGCCTGTTCTGCAGCACCTCTTTTCACCCTCTGTCTGAAACCAGAGCACATAGACCTTTGATCAGAGCGTCCTGAGCAGTGGTCTGATATAAAAAAATAATGTTTAAATAGACCAATCAGAATTGTGTATTCAACTAACCTGTGTTATAATGAAAAATAAATCAACCAAAAACCTGTTCAATCAGTTTGTTCACATGATCAACTAATGATTCATTCCAACAATCACTCAGCACTGTTTCTAAACTAAATGATGATTGGTTTAGGATCTGTCTGTCCACTAATGTTTGTTTTACACAGAACACTCTACTGTATGCAACTCACACACACACACACCCTACAGACATATCTATACTCATTTAACCTGACTGACCCAGCTCAAGTTTCAGCCTTAATGAGATCAACTCATGATGGCCAGTACACACACACACACACACACACACACACACACACACACCACACACACACACAACACACACACACACACACCACACACACACACACACACACACACACACACACACACACACACACACACACACACACACACACACACACACACACACACACACACACACACACACACACACACACACACACACACACACACACACACACACACACACACACACCACACACCACACACACACAAACACACACACACACACACACCACACACACACACACACACACACACAACACACACACACACACACACACACACACACACACACACACACACACACCCACACACAAACACACACACACACACACACACACACACACACACACACAACACACACACACACACACACCACACACACACACCACACACACACACAATGGTGCTTTTACTTAACGACAACCTCACAATGGCTGCAAAGTCTGTCTGTCATAACCTTTGACCTCCTCTCTGCTGGTTGTGATGGCTGAGACGAACCTTCACACAAACATGTACTTAGTTCAAGAGGGCCAGAACTCATCTCTAGGTGACTGTCAGTCGATACCTGTTTCTCTGACAGTCACTGTCAGCGTATACACTTGTATCTGTATCTTCTGTATCTGTTGTTATTTTGGTTTTACTTGCTTGTAAGCGCTTTGAGCACCAGGAAAAGCACTTTTTAAATGTAATGTATTATTATTATTATTATCTCAGTAATGAAAAGGGAACTGCTTGAAATCTAAAAGGTGTGTTCACATCGTAAATGCAAAGATACAGATACAAGCGGGTTGGCGCCAAGGGGACGCAAATATAACGCGTGGCATGAGTTGAATTGACTTGGAAGCCTATGAGGGGTAACAATCCCAATGAACTTACCGATAATCAATAATAAAGGAACATTTCATTTGTACTTTCCGTGTGCAACCGATGTAAACATCTTACATGTTTATTTTTCACCAACAATCCATTTCTGTCCATATTTTCTTTGTAATACTTGGTATTTATTATGGGGAGCTTTTATATTGTTACTCCTGGCACCAACACTGCTATGGTATGTGGTTTCTTTTTGGATTAGCTGCTCTGAATTTAATGAATGAGCAGTCCCATTGGCTCTTAAGGGCAAAGGTTGCTAACAATTAAAGAAAAAACACTCCAGCAGCCGTATTCCCGCCGGGAAATCGAGGCAAAATCCTCTGTGTTTGGTCTGAACGAACCTTTAAAGGATTTGACCTTTGAGAAACAGGAAATTGCTTCACAAGCTGACCACTGGTTTTTCTAGAAAGAGATCCTGAAGCCACATGCACACAGACCGAGGACTCGCATGTCAGAGGAACGCAGACATCGTTACATCATCATAATGTCCTGCAATCTGGTTACAGACTGGCCTCCATAACTCAGTGTGTCGGCTGAGTGTTTCTGTGTCTGTCTGTCTGTGTGTGAGAGTTGTGTATGTGTCTGTGTGTCTGTCTGTCTGTGTGGTGTGAGATTGTGTGTATGTGTCTGTGTGTCTGTCTGTCTGTGTGTGTGAGATGTTGTGTGTGTCTGTGTGTGTGTGAGATTGTCTGTTGTGTGTCTGTGTGTGTGTGAGATTGTGGGTCTGTCTGTGTGTGTGAGATTGTCTGTGTGTCTGTGTGTGTGTGAGATTGTGTGTGTCTGTCTGTCTGTGTGTGTGAGATTGTTGTGTGTCTGTTTGTGGTGTGAGATTGTCTGTGTGTCTGTCTGTCTGTGTGTGTGTGAGATTGTCTGTGTGTCTGTGTGTGTGTGAGATTGTCTGTGTGTCTGTCTGTCTGTGTGTGTGTGAGATTGTCTGTGTGTCTGTCTGTCTGTCTGTCTTTCTGTCTGTGTGAGATGTCTGTGTGTCTGTCTGTCTGTCTGTCTGTCTGTCTGTGTCTGTCTGTTGTGTGTCTGTCTGTCTGTGTGTCTGTGTGTGTGTGTCTGTCTGTGTGTCTGTGTGTCTGTCTGTGTGTCTGTGTGTGCTGTGTGTCTGTCTGTCTGTCTGTCTGTCTGTGTGTCTGTGTGTGTGTGTGTGGTGTGTGTGTGTATATTTATCTATAAGCAAACCGTTTTCTTTATATTTTGAATCTAAGATGAAAGAGAGAGCAGTCATATTGAAGAACACAATTAATGAATATCAGTTCCTGAACATAAACAGAGGATAGAAATACAGTGTTTTTATGTGCAGTGTGTATTCATATCTTTATGTATCTCGTACAGCTACATTGGAACTTTGCTATTATGTGAGCTGTATTGAGCTATATTAAATACATGTCTTAAAGCTGTCTGTGCTCTAGGCATTAACACCACGTTACCATTCTGAGTCTAAGCGAGTCAAGACAGGTCCCAAAGAAGCAAGTTAAAGAATAATCCTAACTTAATTAAGATAGAAATCTTTAGTCATGAAGCTGTTTCACATCTACATTTGGAAGTTTGTTTTAGTGACAGATAGCTCATCCCGCAGCATCCCTTATTGGCAAAAAGCAGTCTGAAAGCGAATGCTCTACACCAGGGTCTCATCCATCTTCACAAGTCATCCATGTATGTACAGTCTTAAAATCATATAATTAGAAATTCTTACAGATTATAACTCAAAAATGAAAAATATGTATTTCTAGAATTAAAAAACCTCCTTAAAAAAACATTATATTGGTTTACTTTATATTCAATTGTAATGTGAACTGTGTACCAGGGTTTCAGCTAGGATTTTTCTTGCCGGTCAAATGTCAGAAAGAATTATTTTTTCAGATTCAGATGGCCAGATTCATTTTTCAATAAATGATTCCACAAACAACATAATTATTATATTCAAACAAACTACTTATAGTAGATGAAGTACATTATTCAAAATATTACGTTAACTTTGGATAATGACACGGGAGAAACGGATTCATTCTCTCTACTACAAAAGTGTTATTTAAAATATGAATTCCGCAGGTCCTCTTTCGGTTCCCTTATATATTTAGGTATAGTGTTTTTAATAAATATAGTTTTGTCATTAATCTGCGATGGACTCACTTGGTCAGCTGCTTGTCGGCGTCAGCACAGAGCTCCAGGAGCCCCATGAGCACCGCCGACACGTCCATATAAGGCTCCCACACGGTGAAGCCTCGGCCAATCAGATCGATGGCGGTGCGGCGGATGGTGCTGTGGGGGGGCAGCTTGGGGCTGGGGGCTGCAGCAGCAGAAGGTCAGCGCCTTACCTGCAAACGGTACAAACAGGAAGGTGAGAAGCATGTCGAGAAGCAATCGAAAGAACACTGAAGTTGCATCAGCTATCGTGACAGAAAATAATTTGTACATATTGTAGTTAAATATATGACCATTATTAGCCCTGGTGTAAATACAACTACAGCAATTGAACAACAATCAATGAGCTGATCATAGAACTGTTTTTCATACTCAATTAATGTTATATGATAATCTTAAATGCAAAAATGGCTGATTTCGGCTTCTCAAATATGGATTTTCCTGCTTTCTCTGTCATTTTTATATCATATAAAAGCAAATATCTTTGGGTTTTGGACCAAGATGTCAGCTTGGAATTTGAGCAAGAAAGTCAGACAGACATTTTGCCACTGTTTTATGACATTTAAGGACAAAACTATTCATCTACTTACATATTATATATTTGGCAGTTTAATTGATGTGAAAAATAACCGTTGGTTGACCCGTCACTGCATTGACCCACGATTGCAACATGTGATTTGGGTAAAGATTATGTTTTCAAATGAGGTTTGGGTGAAAATGCTTCAACTTTCGAGCCCCACATAGACAAAAACACCGACACCCACACACACTCAACACACACCACACCCACACACAGGATAAAGACAGCGAGCGGGATGGAGGTCACTTCATAGCTGACCTGACATTTGAGCCAGTCTCTGTGGGGACAGGCTGACCATTAAGGCTCCATCCCTCAATAACTCGCACCACCCCCCCCCAAACCTCACCCACTGAGGCTTGAGGTCCAGAGCTTTTAGCAGATTCTTTACAAAGTGCTTCCAAGAGATAAAGTCAGAGGAAATTCAAGACAGAAAGATAAATAATAAACATCTGGTGTCATTTGGTACGCGAGAACCAGGAATGAACTCGTCATGTATGCATTTATTCAAAGCTAGTGGCGTACGAGAAGTATATCAGTGTATATAATAAATCAAGTAATATTTTGAACTGCAATTCAAAAATGTGTATCCGTTAGGCGTTGTATAGAGAGGCGAAGTCCCGCCCATCTACTTCCGACCCATGGGACCTTATTTCGGAAAAATGATGTATTGAAGTCAATGGGGAGAGAAAAGATTATCTTTCGATCCCGTTTGAATTGTGCCACGAATTACACATATGATGTTTGTCAATCTTAAAAAATAATTTCCATGTCAAAAAATCACAGTTTTGTAAAACTGTTGAAATATAAGACTATGAAAAATACGCAACTAGAAAGACTACAAATCCCAGAGTAAGTGAGCACGTTAGTTAGCATTACAGCCTTAGCCTTGTCATTTTTATTAGCCTTAACATAAGTAACATTAAGTAACCCAAAATGTTTAACAGTTACTAGTCATATTTCAGGCAGCTTTGCATGACATTCTTCTGGACGTGTTTCATTGTGGTGATAGTGAGGGTCGTCAATCCCTTGTTTGGCAAGACAGTAGTGACGGCCATCTTGTGACGTGTGTTGTTGTGCGAGACCAGAGATGTAGTTCATTGAGCGGTTTCACACAAAACAAGTCTTACTTCAAAGTTTTACGGCAAAACATTTTTTGTTTTACTTGCAAATTATCTTTTAATTGACAAACATCATATGTGTAATTCGTGGCACAATTCAAACGGGATCAAAAGATACGTTTTCTCTCTCCATTGACTTCAATACATAATTTTTCCGAAATAAGGTCCCATGGAGGTCCCCCGGAAAGGGAGGGACTTCGCCTCTCTATTATATCAGAACCAGATTGAACATTGGGAAGGTCTTTTATTGTTGTTGCTGTTGGAGGAGCCTGTGACCTAAGATTTCATTGTCATAACTACACTGTAGCTACATGACAATAAAAGCCTTGCATCTTGAAATCTTGAATCTTTATCCTTCTGCTGTCTGAGACCACTCAGATCAATAAAGTTTATTGTATTTTCACTTTAAATGTAAATGGTACACAGTCATTATATAAAGAAACATATTACATAAAACAGATCATTTGCTATAGGTATTTATAATGATGTGGTGGCTCTTAAGGTCCTCCAGACGCACATCATCTGGATCGCCTGGCATTTAATCATCAATCCCCCCCCCTTAAATGGCAAACCCCCTTCCTTATTGGTTTACATCTACACACACACACACAGCTTATGGATGGGGCTATTAAACGTATAGCTACAGGCTAACCGTGTTAGCATTGCTGGGTACGACGGTTATAATACATTCCGGAAGCTTTAACTGTGTTAGCATCGTTATGCTACGTCGTTACGGGGGACTAAGACTGTAAGAGATGAACCTTCAAGCTAATAATGTTAGTAGTTATGTTGAGGCTTTTTGCGAAGAGACAAAGAGTCAAACATGCCGGTGTGTTGTTATTCTGCAGTCTGTGGTGTGGAATAATCAGGAAAATAAATATGAACGCCCCCTTAAATCAAAACAACAACTCAGAGCGTCTGTTGAGTTGAAACACGAATTTCCGACTAGAACCATGGCGGATGAAATTAAATACTGGGGATTGCAATACATTTTCTATTAATTCAAATAATGCGTGCCATTTTCTTTCTCACTTGTGAATCAATTAATGTTTATTGTATGAGGTTGTAACTTTTTGTTGTTGTCCACAGACAGTGAGCTAAATTAATTATTTATTAGCATTTACTCTGATAAGCAATAGCATACTTGGATAGCAAGTAAACAAAATAACTATAAACAGCTATAAATGTTTTGTTAAATAATCTAGCATTAAAATATAACATCTTCTTTATAGCGTCTATGTTGTTTATGCATTACAACCTAAAAATCATGATTTGGATCCATCAGAGAGCATTAGCACCGTTAGCTTGTTGTGACTGAAGCACTGATACGGTGGTGAACTTTGACGTAAGATGGTGATTAGCAAACACCATTAAGAGCTAAAATCAATCATGTTTTTGTAACACACATCAATATACATACAAAAAAAAGACTATAAATATCACCAGTGAGGAACTTTGACCTCCAGTTAGTGATTATTAGAACTCACTTAGACCACCAGCATGCCTGTGCTTTTTCCACCTTCATTTTCTTAACAGTCTTTCTTGAAAATACACAACTTTTCTGTAGAGAAACTGTCGAAATGTAATGAAGACAAGATGTATTTTTGGTATAAAGAGAAAGTTTCCATTCAATCAAGCATTAATTGAAGTTCAAGGATCCAAGTGTATTATAATTACAATATTTCTAACACTTAATAATCGTTTTATAACTATTTAATGCATTCTAAGTGTTTATTAGTTACTATAAGTGATCGTATGACCTTCCTAGAGTATAGGAAGATATAATACAGTACAAGCTGGTTATGAGTCACTCTAAGGCAGGGGTGCCCAATACGTCGATCGCAAAGGTAGTGTGGGTAGATCGCATGGCTTGAAAGTTAGCCTATCATCCATCCTTATTATGTCATTTGCCACTTGATTGACGTACAGGTAAGCCAGGCTGAGTTGTATTGTGCCATACGGGTTCATGCAGTTATGAAGGGGCCTCACCTCCTCAACTGAAGCGCAAATGCGGCGCACTATTATGCGCTTATGCGCGGGCTGAAAAAGTGTGGGCACCCCTGCTTTAAGGGGTCATTTGCTTTAAGTAAATGAAAAACATCATAATTAAGTCCATGCATAAATTGCTATTTTGTGTTTTAAAATGTTTGACTCACTATATGCATATAATGGATGCTGCTAATTAGTATTATACAGTGCTATAAGCAGGATATAACACATTACAAGCACGTTTGTTTATAATTCATTTAGACAATGGCATCATAGAAGGTGAATATCATTTTACCTTTGATAGAAAAATCAACCAAACATTAGTTTCAAATAACTGATAATCAATAAATGAACTTGGTAGGTGACTGTGGGATGTTAGGATGGGTTGGTGGGCGGTATAATTTGGGGGGGGTCATGGGGCCAAAGGTCACCAGTCAAATTCAAACCCCTGACTTTATGAATAGCGCAAACGTGCTCTTCCAACAACCAGCAAACCAGCAAACCCCCCCCAACAACACATAGCCGGTCTCAGAGGTTATGATGTCATAGGTCAATGGTGTTCGCAGTGACAGGGCGTGTGTGTGTGGGTGTGTGTGTGTGTGTGTGTGTGTGTGTGTGTGTGTGTGTGTGTGTGTGTGTGTGTGTGTGTGTGTGTGTGTGTGTGTGTGAACCTGACAGAACCACATTTGCACATAGAAGCCATTATATATTTTTTGTCCTGTACTAATTAAGATGGCTGTTGACAATCACTGCTGTAATTGCCTAGATGGACCATAGATTTACATTTCAACACCTCTTATCTGGTCTGTGAGCAGGAAGTGAGAAAGGTCCCAACTCGGGTCCATTTCTCACGGCGGACATCTTTGTTTAAAGGAAAGCCCGACCCAAATGAACCAATAACTATTGACAAAGCATCCGCTGGCCATAATGAGCTGTTAGTTAGAGCAGTAAACATGTCACATTAACACAGAGGGTGATTAGAGCAGGAGGAAGGAGGGAGGGAGGAAGGAAGAAGAGAAGGAAGTGGAAAGGAATAAAGGAGGGAGGGAAGTAGAGAGTGTGAAATAGAGACAGATTGGCGATGTCTAAAGTTTACCAGGCCGAGGCGACCACTAACAGGCTTTCTACTTTCTTTCCTCCATCTGCCCTACCCCTCCTTTCTCTCTGTCTTCCTCCGAGCTTAAATGAGAGGTGAAGGTAAATCAATGTTGGGGACTCGGTAAGTGGATGAGAGCCGGACTGGACTTGCTGCATGGAGAGAAAAATAAATCCTTTTTAAAATGGCCAAAACCAATTTAAAAAGAGAAAGAACAAGAGCCAGTGAGAGCGAGAAAGAAAAGGAGAAAGCTTTGTCTATTGCGAAGATAAAAAAAGATACAATTATAATTATTAAAGTAGTATTTGGTCAACAACCAATGCATACATGAAGAACACCTGTGGTTGGCTACTGTACCGTTCATGGCTAACTAGCATGCTAGCCGTGAGATTGCTAGCTGCATGAGTGCAACAATTAGAACTTCATATATTCTCTTCATCACCTAGTTCCTATTTTTGGAGGACAAGCTAATTACGTTAGCTACAGTAAGCACAAATGATGTTGGAAACAAGCACATTTTATTAGCCATGTTAAGTCTTACATGCGGATCACACTGTAAGCTTTCAGAAGTTTTTAAATCAGTAAAAACGAATCCTGCATTCAATATTAAGTTAATTAGTTAGCTACCTTGAGATAACTATGTTCAATTATTTCCTGTTCCTAAATAAGTGTGCAATTCTGCTAAATATTTGAATACCAGGATATAGCTAACTACTTCGCCGCACACTTTGATAGCAAAATAAAGTTGCTGGTCACTAATACGGAGAAAAACACACACACTGAAATATAAAAGATAATTTGCTAACTTAATTGAGAGTGTTCTTGATAACACTTCAGAATCAGAATACCTTTATTAGTCCCACAGAGGGGACATTTGCATCGTTACAGCAGGAAAGAGCCACAGACAGCTTAATGTTACCTATGTTAAGAAAAAAGTACTAAGTTATGATATAAAAATACTTTCCAAAATACAAATCCTGTAACAGTTCTTAGGGTTTAGCAGCCAGGTATATATTACACAGTTATTAATGGCTTATGTATACAGTATAATGTAATGTATATATTGCACATATAGCACATAGTATGATGGTATTTAACTGCAGCAAGTTCACAATTACAGGATACAAAATGCAAAAAAAACACACCTTGTAACGGTTCTAAGGATTTAGCAGCCAGTTATAAATTACACAGTTATTAACGGCATATATATATTGCACATATAGCACATAGTTGATTGGTATTTAGCAGCAAGGGGTGATATAGTCTTGGTTCTGTGATGAAAAGAAAATGCATTCATCTGTTTCGCTTCACTACTGTTGAGCGAATATTAGAAATAGAGCGCATTAAGATAATCTGTTCGTGGTTTAAAATCTACAGAAAGTAGTGTGCAATGAGATGAAGTTTTTAAAAGACAAGTCAAACTTTGAATGAGGTTTGGTTTCCATCACCTGCTTGTCCCTGTACAATTTCTGATACACAATAAAACTCCATTTCCAATCTGTTCTCATGAATGTTTTAAAATACCAGCGTCACGGTGTATTAGGCTCAGAGGGGACTGATGCTTTCTGACATTTATTGTGAGCAAAATTGTCCAGAGATGATACACAGAGGTACAGTTAGTGTGTTTTATCCTGTCCAGTCACATCCTCACTTCCTTCTGTCATCATCTGTCCTTCCTTCCTTCCTTCCTTCCTAGCTTCCTTAGGCTCAATCTCCCCCCCCTCCATCTCCCCTACATTTCCCTCCTCGCCATATGAAAACATCAATCTATACTCTGCTGTATAGACTTCTGTACCCTCCCTCTCTTTGGGTGGACAGCTCTCATTCATCACACACACAGGGCTGCGCGCCAACAACAGCGATCCATCTTTCAATTTCATAACAGAGAGAGGAGAAGGGGGGGGGGGGGGGGGGGGGGGGGGGGGGGAAGAGGGGGAGGAAAAATAAATGAGAATTGGAAAAAGACGGAAAATGAACGGAACAGGGCTGGAATGAAAGCAGCAGTGGAGAAAGAAATCTCATGCTAGTTTTCACAATATCTGCAGGTGTCTGCTCATGTTATTAATTAGGTAATAACACTCTTTTATAGGGTTCAGCCATTCACTGGGGTCAGATAAAGGAGCAGGTTGCTATATGGAGTCAGGGTGAGTTAAAATATCATCTTTCTCAGTTAGTTAGTAGATACTGTCCTCCAAAAAAACAACAAATGGATCATTTATTGACATATTTTTGTGTTAAAATGACACGGAGAGTGGCTGTATCAATTATGTTTTTTATGAAAAAGCAGCATAACGTCACAGCCTCAAAATCATATAAAAGGGGGGGTTTATTCCCCGTTTCCATTCACCCGGGACATACAGTCAGAATTACATTTCTCGAGCCAGGCTGTGCAATTGTACCAAAAGCTTTTTCAAATAAACATGATCCATCATTTTAAAACTTGTCTCAAAGTTTGACTGAAAGTTAACGCAGAAGAAAAGCCTCATGGATCGGCCATGATGTCTGACTGCAGATCTGCATCCAGGTCAAACTCCCCGGCTGACCTCTCTCTCTGCAGCAAAAGTTTTCCTGCTCAGTCGCTTGTGAAGAGCAGCAGCATCACTTTCTGGAAGTATTATGTCTTCTTTCTGAATTCATCGGGTCCCTTCTACCATGTCATATAACTTTGTCTCGTGATCCCTGTGCAGAACGTCATAATGACCATTACAGGCACTTACTTACTTAATGTCTGTGTTAAGGTGGGGTAGGTCATTTCGGAGAGAAACCAGCTCGAGTGCGCTAGAATTTGAAAATACACAACCGGAGAAAATCTGCCACTTCCTTACAGAGCCCCTCCTCCAACACACACGAACGCGCACATGACCAATGAGGGCACCAGATAAGTGTGTGCACAGATGGAAGGCTGACAGGCAGGTAGGCCATCCAATCATTTTAGCCTGCCCGGCTAAAATGATTGGTCGTGCTTTTTACAGTATTACAGCTTCCACAGATGATATTTTTTTATGGATTTTTTGTCAAAGCACTTCAGATATTCATTGCTATCGGGATGTTAGGAGCATTCCATGGAATATAACAAAAAGTGTTTCTCGAGCCGGTTTCTCAAACTTACCTACCCCACCTTTAAGTTCAGTCAGACTAAAAGACAAGTGCAGGAAATAATGAAAGAATATGTCGTTTTGAGATAAGCCTTGTTTCCAATTGAAATCCTGACAACTTTTCCTTTTCTCAGTTTTATCCGGTAACAACAAAGTTTACAAATAGGGAAGAAACACATGATCGACTTGATAAATATTTTTGATCCAATCTGAAAGAATTTGTAGTTTAACTATTTTACAATCTTTAGACCACATCACGTTTATACAATCCAGAAGTTTCCTCTACAGTACAGTATAGCAGCCTCTTCATAAATAGCAAAAGGCATCCAATAAGTACATAACTATGTGCTTGCATGAGGCCCATTATTTCTTGGTGAGAAACGACAATTAATTTAGAAATGTATATTGTATTTTATCCGCGCAAAAATCTAGTGTGACTGCTTAAAGGGGACCTATCATGCAAAATGCACTTTTTTATGTCTTTTATACATGTCCCCGGTGTGTCAGGGAACTCACGCAGCGTCAGAAAATAAAACCCTCTCTCTTTTCCTCCGTACCCAAATCTTTTAAAAACGGGGGTACAACGAACAGATACAGATTTGCTGCCGATATGACGTAATTTCGGATGGTGGACCCACAGAAAGTTGCTATCAGAAACAATGCCTGACGTGTTTTGGACGTAATCTGGTCTTTATTTACATTAGCAAGCCTCGCTAACACTCAGAGCTAACCTGTACTGGAGAGCACACCCGCAAGAGAAAAGGCATTTGAGCTCCATACTGTTTCAGAAATAATCCTTGATGTGGTTTAGAACAGGATGGCGTTTTATCACAGCAGAATTTAACTTTATCTCCGGTAGAGTTCTGAGCAGGCATTAGCTCCGCCTCCTCTTTTTTCTTTTAAAGCTAAGGACCCAAAATCCGCGTTTCTCTAACAGGGCTGGAATAAAGGGTATGAGGGATTTCTAAAATGCATGATCTGTTTGTATTTTGAGCAAAACACATCATAGACATGTTTTTATATATATCGAGACCCATAATATATGCCTTAAAATAGCATGATAGGTGCACTTTAATGTCAAATGTCAACAAATATTATCATATGGGATCAAAATGTCCAAATGATACCCAGCCAAAAGGGTCGGAGGAAGGTTTTAAAAAGGGTGGAGCTCTACTCAAGGGGATCAATTAAATATTGAGTTGTTTTCATCTGATGGTACAGGCTTGGGGTTTTTGTGGTGAGTGTGTGTGTGTGTGTGTGTGTGTGTGTGTGTGTGTGTGTGTGTGTGTGTGTGTGTGTGTGTGTGTGTGGTGGTGTGTGTGTGTGTGTGTGTGCGTGTGTGTGTGTGTGTGTGTGCGTGCGTGCGTGCATTTGGTGAGTCCACACAGGTGAGATGACCGCTGTGTAAAGGGCCAACATCACGCTCCAGAGTCTATCAGGGGGAGTCCAGACTCTGTCGCTGGGCGGATGACCCCAGAGGCAGCCAATCAGAGCACAGGAGCAATGGAATGGAAGAGCAGCTCTGCTTAGTGCAGGTTTGATGCCGACCAAGGTTCAGCGCTGCAGGCACAGCAGGGTAGGGGCCGGACGCAGTGTGTGTGTGTGTGTGTGTGTGTGTGTGTGTGTGTGTGTGTGTGTGTGTGTGTGTGTGTGTGTGTGTGTGTGTGTGTGTGTGTGTGTGTGTGTGTGTGTGTGTGTGTGTGTGTGTGTGTGTGTGTGTGTGTGTGTGTGTGTGTGTGTGTGTGTGTGTGTGTGTAAGTCAGTACCAAGCTCCTTAAGGTGTCAAGCTTGGTGGGTGAAAATCAATCCCATCTCTCTCCTCACCTCTAATCCGACACTGAAGTTTCTTCTTTGTCAGTTGTTTAGTTTTGAGTTTGGAGCAAAACAGGAACCACTGAACATTAAAGCATCTGTCTAAATGTGAGGCAGGGGTCAGGGGATCACAAGATATTCATTTAAGGGTCATTCAAATGATTCATTTGCTGGGATGTCTGTACCAAATATCATGGCAATGGCAGGTATTTTACTTAAAGTGGACCTATCATGCTATATTTGAATAATATATCGTAGGGCCATACCTTTATAAAACATGTCTGTGAAGTTTTTTTTCAAAATACCAAACAGATCATGCTTTTAGCCATGCCTCATTTCGCTCTATTTGCTCTTTTCCAGCCCTGTTTTTGCAAGGGCTGATTCTGTGAGAAGTCTTCTTCGCTGCTTTTGTGGCAGACTACAGCGCCACTTACAGGCCTGGCATATGTACTACAGCGTCTCCAGCGCTTTCGAGCGGCAATGGCCGTGGCCGTGGCCCAACCCCCCATTCCCCTGATAGGTGGAGAGTTGCCCATATAGGCGGAGCTCCCCGTTTCTGACGTCAGAACAATTTCAAATCTGTATCAGCTCCGTTGCAGCCCCGTTTTTAGAATTTGGGTATGGAGGAAAAGAGAGAGGGTTGTGTTTCTGACACTTGGTGAGTTCCCTGGAACACCGGGGACACATATTCATGTATAAAAGACGTACAAAAGTGCATTTTGCATGATAGGTCCCCTTTAATGCCATAAACTGTCAACCTCATGGTTGTGCTGGGCGAAATGTTTGGTCATCAAAGAAATCACAAGGATTCAATCCCTGGGTGAACAGGAAAGGCAATCCGTCCTACCGTCTAGCACAACTATCCATTTATAACATTACAAAGCCACAACACTAGTGTAGCTAAAACAGATCTATGGGTAATACTTGTTAGACGAACCAAAATGCCCACAAGACAATGCAAGTTGGGTCAGAGGTAAAAAGCCAAAAGGTGAACATATGATCAAGCAACAAAAATCAACGAAGATTCTATAAAACCTAGTTTGCTTTGTTGTTAGCTTTTGTTCTGACTTGACTGGGAATTTATGTGAATTGGGGTATTCCTTTTTCAGATTATTCTGACGCCATATGAATGCGTTACAAATGCACAATTCTGCTGACAAAACAAACAAAAACAAAACCATTATCTCCTTGGCGATGGTTTGTAAAAGTTACAAAGAAAGAAACACATTGAGTGGTAAAGCAAGAACAGCGTTTAACAAAAGCCTTCAAAGACGTAGCTGTCCCGCTGTTCATGCACTTATTTTGTGAATGCAGCCAGATCTGACTCAGCATTTAGATGCCGTTAAACCCCAACAAGTTCTGCTGTTGTCAATTGCAGAAAAGCTAGTCAGATACACACAAATTGACCCATATCACCAGTAACAATCGAAGGACTCGCGTAAAAGAATAGTATTGAACTATTATGGAAGACTTCCCTAAATGCCCACTGTTGGGAAAATACTGAATGTACTCTTCCAATATCGAGAGTCCACATGATAACAAAGGTATCCCAACTGTAGCTGTGTACATGACAGGATGTACAGTATGATTACCTAGAAGAGCATCAGGACTGTTTGAGGCATATGATAGCTATGTGATAACATGATGATTCAGCCTCTATGGAGATAGACATATGACAAGCATGCTCATTTCTGACGTGGAGCTAATCTGAAGTAAACATTGAATACTGCTTTATTCCTCCATCTTGTGACTGTGTAACTCCCTCTCTTGGATATCAGCATGTGGAGGACACTGTTCAGGAACTAGTTGATGCTCTGTATGTGATGACTACTTCCATTCTGGAGAGGATCAGAAATACATGGATCCTGATTATTGAAGCTCAAGCCGGTGACGAGTGATATTTTTCTAACACCTACCTATCCAGAATGAAATATGGTACATACATGTGTGTCTGGCCAGAGAGTAGTTGGAGGACCCTCCGCTGGTCAGTCCGAAGCCCTCAGGCGCCTGCCCCCCCGTCCGAGCCCGCGCTGCCCCTTCGGAGGTTCAATCTCAGCGCCAAACTCAGCCCCGATGACCCCCAGCAGCACGATGGCGGTGGCTTGTTTACGCCGCTCTTCGTATGAGTTGGAGATCTTCTTGGCGTTTGGTGGAAGGTTGGAGAGACAGCCTGGAGGAGAGACAGAGAGAGAAATTAACAACGTGTCTTTTGCTGGTTCCTATTGATGGAGCAGCTGGTCTCAAGACGGGAAGGTCCACACTAAGTTCGTTTTTTGTTAGCTTACAAACGTTATTTACTGATGAAGACCCTGAGAGACTATAAAAGCGCACAAAAAAAAGTAAGTGGACCCTTAATTGAATATTCTGTCACCTTACTGTTACAAATTAATACAGAACTGTCAACATTTGTGCATTTTGGTCATTTGTTTAAAATGACACACAAGTTAATTTTAGCTTAGCCAAGGCAAATAATTCGTTTTAAGGCCCCTGCTGATTTACACCATCACATATGTATATTTTATTGAATGTACTTTAAATACAGTGGACCATAATACAGTATAGTTATTAGAGTACAAGTAGGTTTATGAACAGATTCTTAAATGTTATCTCTAAAATCTTCATGATTTGAGAAACTTCCTTAAAACTGTAATGAATGTGTTGAATAAAAAAAAAACCTATTCAACAAATGTACAATTCCCCTTGCATTAAAGTGATGCAAGACCAATCGCTGAGTATTTAACAAAATGTTTATATGTACTACAGTTCATTGTTGACCATGTTAATTGAGGGCCAGCTTCAACCGAATCAAAATAAAAAAAATCCCGACAGCGCCATCGCAAGATATGGAAACGTAATTGAAAAGCAAATCTGACAAGTTAGTAACATTGCATTTTAATTCTAAAGATACTGAATATCTGTTTTTTTTCCCGTCTTCTGACACATTGAGGAATGATTTAGCTAAACAGACAGAGTGGGGGGAGCCCCGTTTTCATTTCTTACTTTTCACGGTAAAGTGTAAAGGTGGTAAAAAAAACAAAAACCAGCAGCCCTTTGAGTCCACACTGAGCCGATAACAACTGAACAGGCACACTTCTATTGTCCTGGGTTTAACCATACACACACACACACACACACACACCACACACGCGCTGGCACACACACACAGGCACACGTCTTATTGTCCCACTGAAAGACTTTAGTCACAGTGCAAACACACACACACACACACACTCACACTTACATGCAGGCGGTCATGTTCACAGCCTCTGGAAAGCTTTTGGACATGTGCAACTGGAAACCCTTTGTGAGTGTGTGTGGGTCTGTGTGAGTGTGAGTGTGTGTGTGTGTGTGGGCGTTACCATCCATTGTGCACACCAAGAAGACCCCAAAATAACCTCTTTTGTGTGTGTGCGTGTGCCGGGGTCTGCACAGTGGGGCGCTGCTGCAGTGTGTGTGTCTGTATGAGTATCACAGTGGGAGAGGAGAGCTCCTTACACCCCTCGGATCAAAGGCACAATAAGGACTACATCAAATCTGTGTGTGTTTGTAACGCACACACACACAGTCCCACTGCTTCGCCCTCCATTTCTTATTTTCTCGCTCTCTATGAGCGCGGACAGCATTGTTATGGATTTGAATTGCAGGGGAGCAAGCACTCACTCGACACGCACACAAACGCACACACACACACACGAGAGGAGTGATTACTTAAAACTACTGCCTTGAAAGGATAAAAGCAGGCTGTGATCTGTGCTGATGTTTAATGACTCAGCTGGTGAGATGTTCCTGAAAACATTCAATACTGAAATATGTTTCCAAATGCAGCTTTACAGAATGAGAAAAACATGAGAAAAAAATATTTGGGATGTGCCAAAAGTGCAAAAAAAGAAAAAGTCAGAATTCTGAGAAGAAGTCAGAAAATTTTTTTTTTTTTTCAGTTTTCAGACTTCAATCTCAGAAAAAAAGCACTTTGGTAAAATCTAAAAAAATGTAACATGTGGCCCAAATCCTCTTCCGTACAGTTTAGTATAAAAATAGTAAAATTGCACTTTCACTTCATGGATCTTGGCCGGATTAAATTATTATATCTGATCTCAAAACAGCTGAATATAAATGCATTTAAGACGGGTGAAAAACGTGTACTATTTTTACTGTTATCTCGCTGCTACTGTATTACATAGTATGTTGAGTTTTTGAGTATTGTATGTTCCGCAATTTTTTTTAAATGCTGCTATTTATCTGTTTTTGTACCATGAATGTGTACTTATCAAATTAAATAAAAGTGTTTTATTTGTGTCTATCTATTCTGCCCCCCTTTGCTGTAACACTGTACATTTCCCCTCTGTGGGACAAATAAAGGATTTCTGATTCTGGTCAAATCCAAAATGCATTCTAGACAGAAAAGGAGTAAATGTACGAGAAATAATGCAAATGTAAGTAGAATTCTGATTTATAAAAAAGTGGTCAAGGGCATACTGCAGTTTCCCTTCATAAATCACAATTAACTTTTAATGAGGTGTACCTTTGCGAGCTTAAAAAGTTGGAATACATGCCTTATTATTATTATTATTATCTTTCATTTATACTGACTTCATGCGTACGATCATAGCAAAATGACTGAGAAAAGACATGTCACACAGTGTTAAATCAAAGCTCTTGTTTGGGAGGTGGAAACAAGAAAATAATATACTTTGGTCAACCCAGTGTGGAAAATACAAAGAGAGGCAGCATGGACTCTGACCATGCTGCTGCCTCAGAAAGTCTGATTGTCTCAAGAATAAAAAATAATTGGTATGACATAAAAGTAGAGGCTGAAAGTGTGTGTGTGTGAGGAATGACACCTCAGGGAGAGCCACTAAAGAGAGGGGTCTCTCTACCAGGCCGGACAGATGTACAATACATGTGTACAAATAAATAACCGTGATTTTGACAGACATAAAATGTTGCACCTGGAGTGGGACAGTTCCACTACTGAAAGATCTGTATGAGGGATCAGTGAAAGCTAGTTAACATGTCTTGCTTTAAGTCGACATTTACAATTTATCATGTCTTAAAATATAGATATCTGTTAGCTTGCTAGCTTTTACTGCTACATATTAATTGGTGAAGCAAGGCTTAAGTTACTCCTACTGGCAGTTACCAAATAGCTTCAGGTGCATGTAGGTGCGACCTTAATTGGCAATGTAACCCTGGAAAACCAAGATGGATTATAATCAGATGTGTACCGTCTGGTCCTTGGAGAAGTACATGTGGCTAAGCAAGTGTTAATAAAAGTGTATTAATATTGCATCTGGATCAACAAGACACCTCAAATAAAAAGTGTAAATGGTAACTTCCTCAAAACAGGTTGCATCATACAAATTATCTACAGTTGTATACCATGTGATTGCTTATCAACCAATGAAATGGCAGAGAATGTATTATAAGGAGAGATCATAATATAGTCAGAGTGTTTACATCCTTATGAAGACACTGGGATTTTTGACCACTGTATGTTTCTCAGTCCATTTTTTCAGACCCTATAGGAGCCCCCTCCCCCCGATATTTCCATATTATATCCTAGTGCTTTTTATAATGAGATTGCTCAGGGCCAGCTGTCATTTGGAAAAAGGCCCAGCGGCCGGCTCTGATAAATGGATTACAGATGGCATCCATCCCAGGGCCAGACTGGGCCAGTAGATAACAGAATTAGAGATAGGCTCCCAACCAGAATCACTAAAAAGTTGGGCTTTACGCAGAGAGAGAAAGAGAAAGTAAAAACGGAGAAGAGAAAGATCCAGACAGGTGGGAGGGGCATCTGCACGGTACAAAGAAATATTAATCATATATAAGCCTAAATCTTTTTACAAGACATGGCTAGTAAAAACAACTAAGTGTGTACCCTTTGTAGTCCCTTCTAAACTTTAGGAATAATAATTTTCTTTACCATTCTAACAGAGGAGGGTAGAGGACAAGTGTCAATGTGTGTTGTGTACATTCGCGAACGATCCGATTCTTTGAACAGCTCTTTGGTACGAACGAAGGGAAACGAGTCGTACTTGGTGAGAGCCGTTCTTTTTATCGTTGGTTCACTGCCTGCCATAAATCCACTCGCCTATACGGGAACTTGCTTTCCTGAATGCAAATGTTCCATAGATGATGGCATAACACGTGCTGCTTGAGGAGTAGTTTGGCTGGCTGAGAGATGTAGCAAGTTAAAGTCAATCATTATCATGGTGATTATTTCGCAGATAAACCTATTAACCCCGCCACCTTGAAAAAAAACGGCTCTTTTGAACGGCTCTTTTGAACGGAGCCATAAGATCCGCCTCCCTTCAAAGAGCCGTAATTCCCATCACTACAATGTGTGTTGTGAATGTGTTGATGCACTGGTGCGTTCACTACCCAGTCAATAAATAGAAATGGGACTGTTCCGCCACACCTTCTGTCGCCTGATTGGACGAGCCCTCTGCCTGTGGTTTCATTGGTGTTTGCCTCTGATGCTCAAAATGAAAAAAACGAAAAACTGCTTGACACCACTGAAGCTGTATTTAGACACAAAAAAGGGTTAATATAATGTATAATAAAGTGTTTAACCTAATATTTCGAAATCCAATGCTAAATTAATTAATATTTTGAAAATGTTTTGAAGTTCCTATGACCTTATTGTGTCCTCTCTTCTTGAATTAAGGTTAAGGAAAATGATTGAACCTGAGAAAGTTGTGTTATTGTTATAATGGGTCATAAGACAATAATAACCGTTGCAAATTTGGTGTTTTTTTTAATGATAAAGTCATAAAAATGACAAAACTTGAATTATGAAAGTAGCTGTTCTACTGTAATACAAATAATTAATTGCTGAAGCATGTGGTATATTTTCAAAAGGTTCAAACTGTAAACTTAAGTGATCAAATATCCAAATGTACTGAAACTAAAATGCCCAATAATTTGACTTCTTGCCCCGGTAAAGCAGCCTTAAAAATACCTTTTGATGATGTTGTGAACTTCCCTAATTTGAGAGATGTGAGTCAGGTAGCATCACTTCCTGTCTCTGTACCTGTGGACAGACTGATTGATTTTTGAAGCCTATCGATCTGCTTTCTACACGAGCAGCAGATCTATTATAATGACATTCTATCTAAATCCTATTTGTTGGCCAACCTGCTGCTAAACATAACCCAATAAACTAAA